CATTATCTCCATATATAAAGAGCCAGGATCGTAACTTCCACAAAGACTGGAGGCTCCACCAAACGCCAGGCTGCGCATGCAGCAGGCAAGCGGGCTGATCCGCTGACCACTTGAAGAAAGAGAGGGGCAGGGCTGATCAGCAGTGGCAGTGGCTGCTGATGAGGCCAGAAGAGAATAGCAGGGTGATCAGACCCAGTTTCTCTCTCTGGGCCTCCCTAGCAGCCAAGCCTCTCTCTTTCTCCCAGAGGTCAGCAGTTCAGCCTGGGGCAGCTGCTAATCAGCCCTGCCTTTATGATCAGGCCTGGAGATAGGCCCAGAGATGCTGACTGGCATAGAAACCGACCAATCAGTACCAAGTCTGGGTGAAGTGCAAGGAGCCAATGGCTGCCTAGGAGGGGGAGCTTTTGACACTGACTGTCATAGAAACCAACCAATCAGAACCAAATCGGGGTGAACTATGAATGCAGAATCTAACATTGGGGTTGAGGAGGGATTTTAAGGGCAACAGCTATTTGGTGTAAGATGTAAGAAAGTGATTCAATTTTTTAATGACTAGTTTGGCAGTATACTGCATATGGCTGGCTATCAGTCCAAATATAGGGGTTATGTGTTTTTGTCTGCCAAGAGCATCTCCTCCTGCTGAAAAAGCTCCCCGTCCTCCCCATTTTCCTGAGTGGCCTTACTCTACAGGGACTGCATGGCAGCAACTGTGTCTATAAAGAAAGACAGACAAAGAGAGAGAAAGTACATAGCTGCTCTCAGACTTTCTTCTGGTGCCAATTAATATTTCAGATCGGTAGAGCTTTTGTTTGCTTACTTTGTTTGTTCAGTTGGTTGGTTTTTCCTATCTTCCCATGCAGTTCTGAGCCACAGAACTCATTAATCCTCAACACGACAAACTAATGTTGGCTTAGCTGGAGTGATCGTGTTATGTAAACAGAGTGGTAGGATCTGTGAGTCTCCCTACCAAGAGAGAGAACCCCCTCTCTGAACTGTAAGGACCTGAGGGTGATGGGGCGGCCAGAACCTCCTGATTCCTACGTAGCTTCTGAGGGGCTTCGAACGTTGGAGTACTTCTAGAAAGTGGTCAAACGTTTAAAAAATGTTGTCTGATTTTTATTGTAGAAATACCAAGTTTCATGCCAGTGTCCTTGCTTTTTATTTACTTTCCCTGTTTTAAAGAGGAATGTTTTCTGTTTAGTTCCTAATTTAGAGCCAGAAGGGACCTCCTGCCTTCACACTGAAGCCTGTGGAGGCCTATCACCTACCTTTCTAATATTTCTGGGCCAATGGCTGCCTAGGAGGTGGAGCTTTTGACATAAGTGATCATTTACGTTCCTTTCCTACATGACAGCCCTGCAAGGGATCACTCTTGCACTCAAAATAAAATCAAACTCCTTTACTCGTCATAAAAGATTTCCCTTCCGCACTTCAGCACCTACCACTTTCTACTTCAATCTGTTTCTGCTAGAGTGGACACACAATAGTGCTTCATGCTCTGACTTTCTGTGTGCTTTTTCTTCTGTCTAAAGTGTTCTTTCCTCTTTGCTCGCTAGAAATCCATTCATGAAGACCCAATTCAAGCATTCTCCCCTTTAACACCTTCAGCTATAGCCAAACAGGTACAGACTTGTGTCAGTATAATAGGGTTATGCTACAGAGGGCAGGGGTTGGAGGGCGGGTCCTGAGGCCCTTTGAAGACTCGGGGGAGGAGGAGAACAGCCCTTGGCTCAAAAGTGAAATCACTGACAGAAAGAAGAATAACCAGAAGACACTATTCTGTAGAAGGTGTTTATTTTCCTGTTTCTTCTTAGGTTAATGAAGAGACTTCCTCTCTTCAGTATGTGTCTTAGATGAGAGAATACGTTGGCTGATAACAGCTAAAAGCTTTTATTACATGAGAAGTGGGAAAGTTGCAAACCAAGCAATACAAGAAAAGCCAGCACTGGAAGAGAGGGGTCACAGTGTTAGAGGAAATATGAGAAGTGTTTTCCTGAACAGATTCAGTATTTAAAATATGCCTCTTCTAAAAATAAATTCCAGTTCTTTAAATTGAATTAATTGAGCATTTTTCTTATTTTTCTTCCTTCACTGTAGAGCTATGAAACACTTGATACCAACCAGCACTTGGGAATCAGTGGTGTGCTAAATCACAGTTAGCCCCTTTCACACTGTGCTCTGACCTATTTACAAGCAGAGGAACTGTGGTAGGAAGAAATAGGCATCCTTAAAAGGAGAAGGTGGGACTGTAAATCAGCACAGGGTTTATGGAGGGCCCTCTGGAAACATGTATTGATATAAAATGTGTATATTATTTGATCTGGCATGTCCACATCTAGGAGTTTATCCTCATGGGATGATTGGGTGAATTCAGGCTGTTACATATGCACAGATATGGCATCACTGTTTGTTAGAAACAACCTAGGTGTCCTTCAGTAGGATTTGGTTAAGTACATTATGATATCCTATATAATGAAGAGTAATATGCAAACTGGCCATCACCCAACACTCAAGATGACTGCCCCCATGTGAACAGAAGATGGCTGCCACAAAATGGTTGGCAGGGGAGGGCGGTTGTGGGTGATCAGGCAAGCAGGGAAGAGCATTTGGGGGCGACCAGGTCTGCAGGAGAGGGCAGTTGGAGGCAACCAGGTCTTCACGGAAGAGCAGTTAGAGGTGACCAGGCCTACAGGAGAGGACAGTAAAAGGGGATCAGGCCTGCAAGGAAGGGCAGTTAGGGGTGACCGGGCCAGCAGAGGAGGACAGTTGAGGGGGACCAGACCTGCATGGGAGGGAAGTTAGGGGTGACCAGGCCAGCAGCAGAATACAGTTGAAGGGGACCTAGGCCAATAGGGTAGGACAGTTAGGGGGAACCAGGCCTGCAGGGGAAGGCGGTTGATAGGGAAAAGGCCTGTAGAGTAGGACAGTTGGGGAGGGACTAGGCTTGCAGGGGAGAGCAGTTGGGGACAACCGGGCCAGCAGGGGAGGGAAGTTTAGAGCAACCATGCTGGCAAGGGAGGGAAGTTAGGAGCGACCAGGCCAGAAGAAAAGGCCAGTTAGGGGTGACCAGGCTGGCAGAGGAGGGAAGTTGAGGGCAAACAGTCTGGCAGGGGAGCAGTTAGGCATCAGTAAGGCTGGCAGAGAAGTGGTTAGGGGGTGATCAGGCTGGCAGGCAGGAACGGTTAGAGGCAATCAGGCAGGCAGGCAAGCAGTTGGGAACCAGCAGGCCTGGATTGTGAGAGGGATGTCTGACTGCTCGTTTAGGCCTGATCGGGCAGTCTGACATCCCAGATAGGAGAGGGTAAAGGCTGGGCTGAGGGACACACACAACCCTGCACAAATTTCATGCCCCAGGCCTCTAGTAGTTACCTAATGTACTACAATGCAATCAGGTAAATGATTACTTTCTACCATTAAATTTTATCAATTACTCTTATAACTATATTACTTTTATTTTATTTTATTTTATTGATTTTTAGAAAAAGAGAGAAGAAGAGAGACATTTGTTGTTCCCCTTATTTCTGCATTTATTGATTGATTCTTGTATGTGCCCTAATCGAAGATGGAACCTATGATCTTGGTGAATCAAGAGGATGCTACAACCCACTGAGCTACCTGGCCAGGGCTATAATACTGTTTTAATCAGCAAAAACAATAAAGCTAGTTTCATTTTTTAAAATTTTACACAGAAATATTTTTGCTTTTCATATTTGACACTTATGAATTTGTTACTTTTTTTATCTTTCAGAATGTCCAACATAACAACTTGTACCTAATCGATTCATATTAGATATTACATTGACCCTCGAACAATGCAGTGTATTAGGGGTGCCCATCATGCCCCTGCAGTGGAAAAAGCATGTATAAGTTTTAACTCCCCAAAACTGAATTACAGCCATCCCTTGGTCTACGTGAGAGATTGGTTCCAGGATAGTTCCCCACCCCCATATTAAAACCTAAAGATGGGCCAAAACCAGTTTGGCTCAGTGGATAGAGCGTCGCCCTGCAGACTGAAAGGTCCCAGGTTTGATTCTGGTCAAGGGCATGTACTTTGGTTGCAGGCACATCCCCAGAAGGGGGTGGACAAGAGGCAGCTGATCGATGATTCTCTCTCATCGATGTTTCTAACTCTCTATCCCTCTCTCTTCTTCTCGGTAAAAAATCAATAAAATATATTTTAAAAAAAACCAAAAAATCTGAGGATGCTCAAGTCCCTTGATAAAATGATGCAGAACAATGCATACAGCCGGCTCTCTGAATCTGCTCATCCCAGCAGAGTGTTGAAAATACTGTTTTTTATCCATAGTTGGTTGAATCCACGAATGCAAAACCTGCAGATACAGAGAGGGCTGACCATATTTATTGAAAAAAATTCTGTGTGTAAGTGGATGCACACAGTTCAAACCAGTGTCATTCAAGGGTCAACTGTATATTAGTTTTCTATGACTGATATAGCAAATTAACATACATCTAGTGGCTTACAACAATATAATTCTATTTTCCCAGTATCGGAGGTCAGAAGCACAAAATCAGGTCTACTTGCTAAAGTCAGGAGGTTGGCAGGCTGGTTTCTTTCAGAGGCTCTGAGGAGGGAACCTTCCCCTGCCTCTTCCAGCCTCGAGGGCTGCATCCCTAGATCCTTTGCCTAGTGGCCCTTCCCACCTTCATGGCCTGGCCCACAGCACTTTGTAACGTGTTCTCTGCTTCCGTCGTCACATCACCTTCTCCTCCATAGTCAGATCTCTTATAAGGACCTGGTGGTTACATTTTGAGTCCACCCAGGATAATCTTGCCATCCCAAGGTCTAATTTAATGATATCATGCCGTTTAAGGTAGCATCTGCAGGGCACTGGGTACTTGAGGATACCCACAGATACTAGTTAGTTGAACATCCACAAGTCAAGTCTTGCTACATTGTTTTCGTTTTCCAAGAAACCATTTTCTAAGAAATCTTGACTCTCACAAAACGATTCCCTTTTCCCCTTTTCTCATTTTCCCAGGCCGATGTGGGTGTGGCTCCTTCTGGGGAGGACTGCAGACCCCAGCGTGAGGCTGCCCTGCACAAGGACACGGTGGGTGAGCCCGAAGGCCTGGAGAAACAGATCCAGTTGGAAAGCTTACCCGGAACCATTCCAGAAAGTTCCCCATCTCCTACTGGAAGGAACAGAAGAATAAATTTAGGTAAAAGCCCCCATTCATGTTAATCTCCATAAAATACTGTTTCTCTAAATGTATCTCATAGTCTGTGTTTGGTGGCCAGGGAGTGCTCTAAATGGTAAGGTCCCCTTCTCTAGACATTAGAATATAGCCTGAAATCTCCTTTATGTGCGTAAATAATGCTAGCCATGAATCTTCCAGTCAGGGAATAATTAAGCCATCTTTTTCCCCCATTAACTAAGAGGCTTATCGGTGATTGGTAATAGGCCTTGGGAATAGAAGTTGCATGAGCTTTGGTTAAATTCTTTTAAACTGCACTGTGCTACCACTTTTTCAAGGGAAAGTACTACATTTGAAAAAGTAAATAAAACCTGCATCAGCTGTTTCCTCTGTCTCTCCATCCAAAGTACCAGCAAATCTACAATGAAAGAATCTTTCAAAATATAAAGTAGTAATTATGACCTCGTGTGCCCTTTGAAACAGTTTGTTTCTAAATATTTTTCTTACAGCGTGTTTTCACTTTACTTCAGTTACCCCCTGATGCTGAGATGAGAGCTCTTATTTATATTTTATCAGCCTTTGAAACAAATTGAACTTAACAGGCCTCAAGGAAAAGCACTCTCTTTTATTTGGGGTGAAAGCTTTCATTTCATTTTTCATTGCTACAGATTCTTCCCTTGGTACAAGTTAGAATTAGAAAATAGGTAGGATATAAATGAGATTCTTTTTCTTGGACTTCGTGCACATTCAGGTTATTACAAATTTTGCATTTGCCCTCAACTTGCTCAGAGACAGGAGATGCAGTGTAGGGGCAGCCCTTCCCCACCACACTCATCACCACCCCCCACCAGGCACCCCATCTTCCCCCACCCCACCCCCCACCTCTGGGGCATTGCACCAGCATATATTTTTTTTCTCTCTGAAAATTCAGCACGTATTTTTTTTCTCTGAAAATCCCTCCTACACTGCAACATGGATGCTCAGTATCTATGGTGTTAACAGACTGGAGGTTAACAGGAACCTGGGTGTGGCCTAGAACAGTCGGCCTGCCAGCCCTACACTGTTGAAGCAGGATGGGGAGGACCACAGGGGAGCAGGACAGTGCCACAAGGGACCCGCATGGGGAGGGCGTGAACTACCAAAGCAGATGTTTCCAAAATGTTGCATAAATTAGGTCTCAAGAAAGCTCTTACCACAAAATGAGTAGGAACTGTGTCCTAAGCTTTATTTTTTAATTTCTTTATTGATTAAGGTATTACATATGTGTCCTTATTCCTCCATTACCCGCCCCCCCCATTCATGCCCTTACTCTCCTGTTGTCTGTGTCCATTGGTTAGGCTTATATGAATGCATATAAGTCCTTTGGTTGATCTCTCCCCTTTACCCCCACCCTCCCCTGCCTTCCCTAAGGTTTGACGTTCTGATCTATGTTTCTCTATCTCTGGATCTGCTTTTGTTCATCAGTTTATGTTGTTCATTATAATCCACAAATGAATGAGGTCATGTGATATTTATCTTTCTCTGCCTGGCTTATTTCACTTAGCATAATGCTCTCCAGTTCCATCCATGCTGTTGCCTTAAGCTTTATATTCATTCTCTACCCAATCCCCTCTCCCCTACACACAACCCTTTGCTTTCTGCATCCCTGCTCTTCATGTCTACAGGGTATATTTGTTAAAAATTTCTTGAAAAAAAAATTTTTTTTAATCCTCACCCAAGGATATTTTTTCTATTGATTTTTAGAGAGTGGAAGGGAGGAAGGGGGGAGAGAGAGAGAGAGAGAGAGAGAGAGAGAGAGAGAGAGAGAGAGAGAGAGAGAGAGAGAGATTGGTTGCCTTCTATATGAGCCCCAACTGGGGCTGGGGATCAAACCTGCAACTGAGGTAGTGCCCTTGACCAGGAATCATCCATCTGGTGAACCTTCGGTCTGTGGTCAGATGCTCTAACCACTAAGAAACCTGCCAGGGCAAAAATTTCAAGTTTCACACTAATATTTCCCAAGTATTTCCCATGGAGGGGAGGAAACACTTTGTTATTTTGAATAATTTCAGGTTGAAGAAAACCTTCAGAAAACAAAGAATGCCTATATTCTTTCATCCAAATTCCACAAATGTTAACATTGTACCACATTTGTGCTTTCATAGTCCTCTTTGCCCTTCGTTCCTTCTTCCCTCTCTCCTCATCTCATGTACAAGTATATTTTTTCTGAGAGTAAGTTACAGACTTAAAGATAATTTACTCATAAATACACCAACAAGTATTTCCTAAAAACAAAGACATTCTTTGCAAAATCCCAGTACAAGGTTCTGAGTCAGGAAACTGCCATTGGCACAGCACTGCTATCTCATCTACAGATCATACTCAGATTTGTCAATTGTCTTACAAACCTGTTTTATACCTGTCTGGTTCAAGAGCTAATTCAGAATCTCATGTTTAATTTAGTTGTCATGTTGTTTTAGTCTCCTTTATTCTGGAACAATCCCTCTGCTTTTCTTTGTCCTTTAAAACCCTGATATATTTGGAGATAGAGACCATTTATTTTGTAGAATGTCTTCAGTTTGCGTTTGTCTTATGTATTTCCTCATGATTAAGTCCAAGTTATGCATTTTTAGCAAGAATGTCAAAAATTATAGCTGAAACTGGTTTGGCTCAGTGGATAGAGTGTCAGTCTGTGGACTCAAGGGTCCTGGGTTCGATTCTGTCAGGGGCATGTACCTTGGTTGCGGGCACATCTCCAGTGGGGGGTGTGCAGGAGGCAGCTGATCAATGTTCCTCTCTCATCGATGTTTCTAGCTTTCTATCCATCTCCCTTCCTCTCTGTAAAATCTAATCAGGAGGTATGTGATATCTGTATTTTACTTTTTTTGTAGGTTGTATGTTTGGGGGCCCTACAAAATTTTTTAGTGCTGTAAAATTCATCAGTCTTTTCTTTTACTGAATCCGGATTTTGAGTCAGTTAGAAAGCCTTTCCTCACACCAAGGTCAAAAACAAACTTGCCCATGTTTTCTTTTCTTTCTTTCTTTCTTTCTTTTTTTTTTTTTTTTTTTTTTTTTAATATATTTGATTTTTTAATATATTATATTTTTTAATATATTTGATTTTGGCTGTTTTCTTCTGTGACTTCACTTTTTATACTCCTGCTCATGAAGAATTTCTAGTGGATAGAGAAAATGCTAATGTAAATGTTCCACTGCATAGGAAACACAATGTGTAATGGCACATTTCTAAAACTAAAATTTTACATATTAACAATTGTGATCTCTGAATGGTGACAGAATGGACATTTTTGTTATCTTTTTTTTATTCTTTTCTACACTTTCAAATTTTATGATGTATTATTTTTATAATCACAAGGAAGTACAATGCTATTTTAAAATATTTCCTCAAAATTCTTCAGTATCCCAAGAAATAATGAAAACTAGTCAGAATGACTTGACAGAGTCCAAGGATTTCTGTATAGGTTAACGACTGTAAATGTCAAGCCAAATACTTCCGTGGATTCAGAAAAGAATAGACTGAAATGATTAAGATAATTTCATTGTGTTAGAGACAGGTGTCCACAATGACATTCTTTTTAGAAATATCTTGAAAGAGAAGGGATCCGTGACAAATGGGAGCGGTGAACTTGGCATGTTTGGAAAGAGAACAGTGAGGTGATAAAGAACATGACTGATGAAGTCAAATAGACTTGAGTTAAATCCTAGTTAATTTACTTACTATTCCGGTCACCTTGAGCAAGTTAATTAACCTCTCTCATATCAGTTTTTTTTTGTTTGTTTGTTTTTTTGTAAAATAGAGTTAATAATATCTCTCATATAGAGTTGATGTTTGATTTATATGTTATAAAACAAAGAAAGTACTTAATGTAGTCCCAGGTTAGACATTTTCATGAAAGGATTCCATCCACTAGAACTGCTGCTCTACAGCAGCAGTTCTCAACCTGTGGGTAATGACCCACAGGTTGAGAACTGCTAGCAGGGTCACCTAAGACCATCGGAAAACACAGATATTTACATTATGATTCATAACAGTAGCAAAATTATGGTGATGAAGTAGCAACGAAAATAATTTTATGGTTGGGGGTCACCACAACATGAGAAACTGTATTAAAGGGTCGAGGAAGGTTGAGAATCACTGCACTAGATGAATGAACTTGGTTACTATCCAGACTTCCTGATGGTTACAAAATAGAAGATAGCTCATTTCTGAAGACTCCCTTTGCGTGTTTGTTTTACAATGTGAAGTTATAAAATTGGATCCTTGCTTGTTTATTTCTGTAATTGAGTGATTTGTAATGGGGGTTGTCCCCCCTAAAGTTTATAAAATCTCCCCTATAAACTGTTTCAGTGCCATTTTTAGAATTATCGATACTAATAAAAATTTAGCTGATACCACTTAACTCCAATTCTGATGAAGTTCAAAGACTCTTTTCAAAAAGGCATGTAGACTTTGCAGCATGGTGTAATGGTAAACTCAGAGTTGCAGAACTAGAAGTCTCTTGGCGACACCGTGCTGTTTATCTTCTGAATACAAAGCATAGAAACCAACTGCAGCTCAGAAGAGTCACCAAAGAACATCCCATTCTCAGCTGTGGCTTAGCTTTATAATTAGCGCAGCGAACCCATGTAGCTGTACCAAATGTACAAGTGTTGTTACAACAAAAAGCTTGTACATAGCAGCACATGAAAGACTTTTTGTTATGTGTATATGGTGTCTGTTCAGTAAACAGTATATTATGTTGATGTGTATCCGCTGTTAGAACAGTAAGAGTTTGAACTTCAAAGGATTCAAAGATTTATAATACAAACAGATATTTAGCTAAGAGTGATGAGTGTAAGATTTAATTAAATAGCATGACTTATATGGCATTCATTAGTACCGTATTTTTCGGACCATAAGACGCACCAGTTTTTAGAGAAGGGAAATGAAGAAAAAAAGATTCTGAAACAAATAGTGTCCTAAAATATTTTATGTGCATTAAAACCCAACATCACAGTCATAAACACATGTAATCAACCCTGTAAAGTAAACAGCAGCATTTAGAACCATTTTAGAGCCGGGCAAGCACACAGAGACCACACAGAGCCGGGCAAGTAAAAAAACTTTTTTTTTAAAGTATATGTGTAGGCTATATTTGGACCATAAGACGCAGGGACTTTTCCCCCCCACTTCTGGGGGGGGAAAAATGCGTCTTATGGTCCGAAAAATACGGTATTTGATTGATAATCTCTTCAATTTTAAATTTTGCTTTCTCCCCCCCGCCCCCTTGGAAGACTTAACAACCAATGGATTAATCCATAAGCTGCAACCCCTAGAGAATCGAGAGCGACAAAAGTCATCAGACATCCTGGAGGAATTAATTGTTCAAGGAATAATACAAAGCCACAGCAGAGTATCTAGAAATGGAGAATCATACGATGTCATGGCAAGTAATTTTATAATTAACTTTAGCTTATAGTTAAAAATAACAATAGAATATGATTGATCACAAGTTATTTCCAGTATATGCATCTTATAGTCACAGTACAGACAGCATTCATCTAAACCAGTTTTTTCTCCCATAAATTTGCTCACCTTTCTGCACACTCTCCTTCACTAAGGATTCAGAATTACCCTAATCATTAATGTTTGATGAGTTCAATAAAGCATACCTTGGGTTTTACTAAATTTGAGGCACAATAAGCCCCATTGAATAACATGCCTCATTCTTTCAGCAATTTTTATTAAGCATTGCCTATGTACTAGGAACTATAAATATAAAACTGAATTCTGACTTATCCAATAAGAAAAGAAGCCTTAATACCAAAGCTAAACCAGATAAGCTTATATATTTATATACACAGTCTAAGGTGTCAAATATGAGAAAATGCAGTTATAGAAATGGGTTTCCTCTTATTTCTCTTTGTTGATTCATCTTGACTAATCTATCATTGTTTTTCCTTTAATGTGAATTATATATTTATTCTGATTTTAACTTGTTGTGGCTTAATTTTTTAATAAGTTCTGTGCAAATTTGTGAAGAGGATAACAGGTTTTGTTGATGCTTTTTTATTTTGTTTTATAAACCAGTTCACTGAGGCAGCACCAATAATCCTAATGCATAGGCAAAAGAAAGAAGATAATAGAAGAAATAACAAAGAAAAGAAGCCTGAGGAGTGGGGGTGAGGGGGGATGGATGGGAAAGAAAAAAAAGAGACAGATATGGTGACAATAGAGTCCAGAAATTATATCAATGGCTTGTGTTGTAGGGAAAACAGTCAGCTGGGAATAAAAAGACACATTATTTAATTTTTTTTTTTTTTATTGATTTTGTACAGAGAGGAAGGGAGAGAGACAGAGAGCTAGAAACATCGATGAGGGAGAGTCATCGATCAGCTGCCTCCTGCACACCCCTACCGGGGATATGCCCGCAGCCAAGGTACATGCCCTTGACCGGAATCGAACCCGGGTCCCTCAGTCCCCAAGCCGACGCTCTATCCATTGAGCCAAACCGGTTTCGGCAAAAGACACATTATTTAAATAGAGTTTGCACCTAGGCCAAGTCACTAAGTGTTTGAATGAAGGTAATTTAGGAAATGCTGAGTACTCATGAATAAAATCTAAAGTGGCATTTTCTTTTGAAGAAGAAAAATAAGCCCCGTACAAAGTATTTGGGGGAGGTGGGGGGAATAAAGAGATTGCTAAACCTTACAAATTATATTATCAGGCTGCCAATAACAAGAAGATATGGGGAAAGGGGAAGGTAAAAATGAACCATAAAATGGAAAATATGTCAACATAATGACAATTTGCATTTGTACAGTAGCACAATCCAATTTTGGAGTACCTTGTTTGAAAGTACCAACAACAATGCATCTTTAATACAGAAAGAGAAGACAGATTTTTTTCTAGCTGTAGATGAGTCTTGAGTGTGGGGGTGAAAAAAAAAATGAAGGTGTGTTAAAAGAAAAAGACAGGAGAGCAATCTGGAGGTGGATAGACTATGGAAATGTCAAGTAGCTAAGTGACGCCTTCTTAAGGGAAATGCTATGGAACTTTGATGTCAATATCAACAGGAATAGCATTAAAACATTTTCTAGTGATTCAAACGCCAGAGATGAATGAGTTCAGACTCAGACCTTGCAAAGGCATCAACAGAGTTAATTAAAATGAGCCATATCATGAAAAGATGTCTCTTTAAAAAAAACAAAACAAAAAACTATTCACTTGACTTGCAATAACATCATTAAGTGAGCCAATGATGAAGGCTGTTTTCATATTCTATAGAGATAGAATGGTTGTCAGGAGCATAACTGGAGTGTTCTCAGGATTTAAATGTGACAGGACTGCAGAGATAGGCAAGAATAATACAGCTCTTGTGTGTGTGTGTGTGTGTGTGTGTGTGTGTGTGGTGTTGTGGGTTTTTTATGTGTGTTTTTTTGGGGGGAAGGGGACATGTTTTGTTTTGATTTTGCTTTGGAATTGGGCCAAGAAGCCCTGACCTGAGATTTACAACATGCCGGCAGTAATCCCTACCTGACCTTTTATTGCCTAGTGCAGTGGTTCTTAACCTGGCTGCACACTCAAACCACCAAGGAAGCTTTCAAAATCCCAGTGCCCAGGCTCCACCTGGGACCAGTGGCTGGGCTGGAAGCTCCAGGAATTCCCAGGGGCAGCCCAGGCTGAGAACCACTGCCCTGCAGTTTCAACAAACATGCACACATCCTCCCACTTCATCCTAGAGCTGAGAAGGGTTGAAGCTTTTTTTTTTTAATATGTTTTATTGATTTTTCTATAGAGAGGAAGAGAGAGGGATAGAGAGTAAGAAACATCGATGGGAGAGAAACATCGATCAGCCACCTCCTGCACACACCCCACTGGGGATGTGCCCGCAACCGAGGTACATCGAACCTTGACCAGAATTGAACCTGGGACCTTCCAGTCTGCAGGCTGACGCTCTACCCACTGAGCCAAACCGGTTTCGGCAGGGTTGAAGCTTTTGAAATTGAAATTCCCCAGTCACTGTGAAGAGAATTCTGAAGTATTCCTAACAATATAACATATTAGCAGTTATAACCTTAAGATTATACCCAGGAAGCATATGAAAATGAAGGAAGATATATTGTAATTGCTCATTGTCAAGGGAAAATCTCCAATTCATGTGTAGTTAAGAACAGAAGTGTGTCAGGCTCCAGGTGCCTTGTCTAGTTTAAGGTAAGATATGAGGCCACTGAGAAAAGATGAGAGTTAAACTTGAGGGATTGAAAGGGGAACCATATTAAGGATAGAAATATTATTAGATAGCTAATACTTTTAAGTATCTAATATTTAATAATATTTTTAGGCAGGGTGGGAAACAAATGATAAAAATTGGCTAAAAAACAAACCAGAGTGAAGGGAAACAAAAGGGGATGTTAATGTCTTCAGTTACGGTGATGTGATAAATCCAGTCAGACATGAAAACACTATTTCTTTATTGCTTAAAAAAACTTTTTAAATATTATGGGGCAGGGGGGAAGAGTAATAGATATGAGAATACTTTTAGAAACAAGACTTATGTACACCAATAATATACTTAAATACAAGGGCATTTTAGACATAGCCAGGTTATCTTTAATTAAGTTATCATTTAGAGCACATGTGTCAAACACAAGGCCCGCGAGCCAAATCCGTCCCGCCAGGCCTTGCAATGTGGCCCGCACCGCGCTGTCATCACTGCACTCCACTGCGTTTCCATCACAATGACAGTTTATGACTGTTCAGTAAACCATTTGGCCAGCGATTTAGGCTGGATTTTAGATTTTGGCCCCTTCTCTGATTGAGTTCGACACCCCTAAAGAGTAACATATAATAAAAGATGCTGAAAAATGAGGGTCCTTTGTCTATTTTCTGAATCCGGGGACTCCCCTGTGAGCCAGTCTCTCCAGAAACCCACCACAGAGCCCCTTTTGGCCTTTTTTTTCTTTCTTAATTTTCATCTTTTGCTTGTTAGCAACTATTGTATTACAGCAATTCCATATTGCCCTCTGGATAATCTGCTTTCAGGCATATTCATACTATTAGATGTTATGTTCACTCAGACAAAATATAATGATATGTAAGAAATATAATATTTAGAAACTAAATATCAGACTAAGTGAATCAGTATATTTTAAAACATTCTAATGAGACATAACTGGTTGTATTATGTGTGTTGGTGTTATGCTCACATGTAAATACTAGAGACCCGATGCGCGAACTTTGTGCAAGAGTAGGCCTTCCTTTCCCCAGCTGCCGGTACCAGCTTACCTCTGGCACCCAGGACCCAGGCTTCCCTTGCAGCCCCAGCTTCATCTGGAAGGTCGTCCGGAAGTACATCTGGTCTGATTAGCTTTTATTATTATAGATGTGTATGGATTGGAATGTATCTCTTTAGAGAGATGTGATTGGTTCTCATTTATTCACATAGCTATTAACCACTTTAGGTGGTTTTCATCCCATACTTTTTTCTCCCTATCTCTTAGGGTGCCCTGAGTCTCCTACATAAGATTCTGAATTTTCTATCAACTCTTCCTGTCCCTGGTCAGAATTTATTCCCTTCTCAGCAACTTCTTTACTTGGTAACCTTTAGTGCAATTAGGGTGTTTGTCCACATTGCATCAGTCTCTAACATTATTTGCTGAACCTCAGGGGGACTTTGTTGAGGAGGAAGTCACTGGGTAAAGACCAATAATGCCAGTTACAGCTCAGACTGGCCTTCCTCAGGAGGTCTAGCAGTGACAGAGCAGGAATGATACATCTCTTTCCAGAAGCTTTGGCCTATTTTATGCACAAGGCTCCAGTGTGGGGCCATAGCCAAGGTAGGTTCATCTGTAGGTCAATAGTTAATTAAGGAAGCTCTGAGGAATACACAGTGGATGCAAGAAGTAATATTATACAGTTTATTGGCTGGGGAAAAGACCCAAATCTTATCACAGCATCTTAGGACATGGCAGTCCTCCAGTGGTGTTCTTAAAATTATGAAACCAGTAACCTCTATAGGGATTTTTTTAAAATGCATTTTTATTGGTTTTTAAAGAGAGAAAGAGTGGGTCATGGAGAGAGAAAAACATCAATGAGAGAGAAACATCAATGGGCTGCCTCCTACATGCCCCTATTGGGGATGGAGCCTGCAATCCAGACATGTGCCTTGACCAGGAATCAAACCTGTGACCTCTCTGTGCCTGGGAGGATGCTCAACCAACTGAGCCACAGCAGGCAGGGCTCTATATGTTTTGAAGTTGATTTTTTAAATTGTTTCTGTGGGAAACAACTCTCTAAGTATAGTGTGATCTTTGTTGTCGTTTTTAAGTGCCAACAGTTGATAAATTCTGACTTCCTAACATTCAGTGGTAAAGAATACAGATATTTTTCCTCAGTTCTTTCAATACTTTCACTTAAAATGTCAAACTCAGAAAAGGTCTTGGGCTGCCCAGGTAGGATTAACTTCCAAAATGGGGAGGAAGTACATGATTTTATCCGCATCATTTTGGAATAGAGGCACAGGAAAAGCCCACCCACACAGGAAATCCTAAATTCCCTCAGAACTCCTGATCTGATTATTTTAGCCAAGCTCACTCCTATGTAAGCTTCCTTTATAGGGTCCTTCCTTTACCATCTCATGTTCTTTTAGCCTCTATGATGGAACTCCCCACAAAACCTGTTTTCATACTGACTTCACTGTATCTCTAGTTGAACCTCCCTAGCAAATAGGTCCCTTTTTCAGCATATGGCTTTGGCCAGTAGGAAGCCCACAAACCATTGTCATAAGAATAATACAGTAATGGGGAAGGGGAAGTTCCTTTGACAAATATTCCAATTTTTTTTTTATCTGCCCTTGGTTTGTTCTTTTGTTAAGTCTCATCTGAGGATATTTTTTCCATTGTTTTTTTTGTTTTTGTTTTTGTTTTTGTTTTTGAGAGAGAGAGAGAGAGAATGGAAGGGAGGGGAAGAGACATACACACACACACACAGAGAGAAATATCAATGTGAAAGAGACACATTGACTGGTTGTCTCCCACACGAGGGGGACTGAGGTAGGTGCCCTTGGCTGGAATCAAACCCTTGACCCTCAGTCTGCAGGCCAACGCTCCAACCACTGAGCAAGCCAGCTAGGACCGTCCCAGTTATTTGTAATGAACCACTCACCATATAAAACTTCTCAAGGCTGTAACCGAGCCAAAACTTAGAGAAATATTTCCCCTTTAAAAGGCTTTCTGAGAATCATAAATCTTAAAGCTGGAAGGAAGCTTAGCCATCCCAGCCCCCTCATTATTTTTACATTTGAGAAAACTGAGCACAAAGAGTGAAGGTGCCTTGTTTCAGGCCACACAGTAAGTATCAGTGGTAGGCCGGGGGTAAAGCCCAGCCCCTTGCCTGTTGGCCCCGAGATTCCAACTCTCTTTTCTCCCTATTGTGACAAACGCTACATCTTGGTTATGATTCCATGTGATGGGGGCGGGGTCGGTTGAGAAATCACTGTTTTCATCAAATGAAAAGTAAATTGCACTTTTTAAAAATATATTTTTATTAATTTCTGAGAGGGAGAGAGATAGAAACATCAATGATGAGAGAGAATCACTGATGGTCTGCCTCTTGCATGCCCCACACTAGGGATTGAGCCCTCATGTGCCCTGACACTCAACCACTGAACAACCCTGGCCGGCAAAAGTAATTTCTATTTACTGAGTGGCTAAGATCTTCTTCTCCTCCCCTCCTTAAGAAAAATAACCCCATGAAAAAGTATTATTAAACCTATTTTACAAATGAGGAAGGCAAGCGTTACAGAATTTAATGCCAAGCCACACCATGGCTGAGCCAGGATTCAAACCCAGGTCTTTCTGGTGCCTTTTCTGCTATGCTAAATTGTCTCTCTTAGATTCATTTTCTCGATACTCACAGTATTGCAGTCTGACAAGACAGTCTTTTAGATATTACAATGGATATCAATATCTCTTTTGTCTTCAAACATCTTTAGAGAAATTATCTATTCAGTTCACTTTATAATGAAACCTTGGAGTTCATTAAGAACTCCCTCAGTCTTAATAAATCCATATATAGTGAGCTAAAAAGACATCCATATTAAGTGAGGAAGGCAAATTGCAGGGCAATGTCTGTGGTATAATCCCATTTATGGCTGACTAAACATTACAGATGTACATGATCAGAGGCCACATGGACCAGCAGAGTATTAGGAGATTATTTATGTATCATTTAAATTTTTTATAATTAATGTATGTTATTTTAACCCAATTTTTAAAAGAATAAATGTGAAAACTTTCTTTATAAACTCTTTACAACAATGTAACTTTTTTTTGAAGCTAGAAATTATCATTGGAAAGCCATTATTACTGCTTTGAACTGTTTAAAGTTTTGTCATTCATATGAAACAACAGTCCGGGTGCATGAAATTCAAGTGCAGTATGGTCCCTAGGCCCAGGGCCTATGATTAGGGTCATCTTCCCCAGCTGCCCACCACTGGCCCTGCAGCCCTCTGCCACCCACCCCCGGTTCCCCTTTCACCATCGGGTAATCAGTGCCTGACAGCTGGGGGAAGGGACCGAGAGGACAGCTGTTCCCACCAGCTCACCGGCCCCACCCCCACCACAGGTGGCCGTCAGGCAATTGGAGCTTGCCAGCTGGGAAAAGGGACCAAGAGATGACTGGTCCAGCGGTTAGGGTCAATTTGCATATTATCCTTTTATTATATAGGTTCGAGGCCTGGTGCACTGGTGGGGACCAGTTGGTCTGCCCTGAAGGGGGTCCTGGATCAGGGTGGGAGATCCCTCTGGGGGTGGGGCCAGCCGGGGTGAGGGGCCACCAGCAGTTTTCAGGCAAGCCATGCCCCCAATCAAGGTGGGAGTCCCCACTGGGGGGCAGGAAGGACTGGGCGAGGGGCTGTGGGCATTTTGCAGGCCAGCCATGCCCCCGCCTTTGTCAAGAAGGTTGTCTGGTCTATCTAGTCTAATTAGTATATTACCCTTTTATTAGTGTAGATGGGATGGTTTTTTTCTGCTGTCAATGTGACAGTTGTAAAGTACCAACATCAAAGCCCAGCACAGAGTTGCTGCCCAGTAATGGTTAATTCTCCCCTCCCTGTGACCAGAAGTATTGGGAACTAATCTCCATCCCAAATGAAAGTCATTTGTAGTTCATGCATATTACAAAATCATCGGGTTTAACTTTATATCTTGCATCACAAATTCATTACTCATCCACTACCTTTTTCTATCTTGTGTTTGTTCTCAAGTTTTGTTTTGTGTTTTTTTTCTTCTCCTGAGTCCTCACCCAATTTCAGAACATTAATGCATTCTTCTATGTTTTTTTGGTAATAAACTGTTGTTTTTTTAGGCACCACTGGATTTTTTTTTTTTTTCTTTAGGACTCAGGTTTATTGTTACCAGTTTTCATGTTGTTTTTTAAGTTGGACACTGTAAAGTTTAGATTTTTAGGTTTCACATTTTAAACTGGGTTTATTTTACCTTCGGCCTCTCTTTGCCAATGAGATCCTCCATTTTAAAAAGTGTCTTCTTCCAGGTGAACACGGTTGAGAAGCCACTGAGAAAGCCACCTGCCAGGCTGAAAAAACTCAAGGTCAGAAAGGAAGTAACAGATTTCACAATGAAGGACATCGAGGAGAAGATGCAGGCGGTGGCTGAGCGCAGGAAGGTACCTGGGCTGGGGCGGGCGGTGCTGCCTGCCGAGATGAGCCTTTCCTTTCAGCAGCGCTTAGCCAAATTGTGTGGATTTGTATCATCTTCCTTATCTGTATGCTTCTTACACTGTATGTTTAATTTTTCTCGTGGGTGGCGAAGACATAAGGCAATGTCTTGAAAATGGTTGGTTTCATCTAAAGAAGCAATATCCAATTCTCAGAACTAAGTGTGGGCTTCTCTTCATATGATAAAAGAAAAACTTTAGTTGGTGCTAAGTGGTGAGGGGAGGTGAGGGAGGGGAGAGGAGGCCTGACAGACCATCACAGAGCTTCTGCAGCCCCTGCACAAGGGCCCCCAGATCCCTCCCACAGTCTTCATGTCCATCTCTCTGCTGGGCCTTTCCGACTGGACTAGAAGCTCCATGAGGGTAGGGAGTGTGTCTGTCTTCTTCAACAGTAATTCCTAAGCGTGGGTTTATTAAATGACTAGATAATGAAATTGGGAAGCCATAAACGTTAACTACAGGCAATATTAATGAAAACAAAGAGGACATTATCTGGACTCTTTTTCATTCTTCAATTCTGCCTTTCAGACAAAAGAAGAAGAAATGAGAAAGAGACTACGGAGTGACCGACTTTTGCCCCCTGCCAATCATTCCGATTCAGCTGACCCGGATGGGGCTGAAGTTCCATTTGCCAAAGGACTTAACCCTGTGAGTTCTGCCGTGTTTGAGCCATGGGACCTGCAGGGAGGAAAGCTGTTGAAAAGGAAGAAGAGCAAAAGTGATGTGACCTCAAATGATAGAGACTACAGTTATGAAGGCATTGATGGTGTGGAGTCAGACATGTCCTACAACCAAGAAGAGGATGTATTCTAATCAGCCATTGATGCATTGATGTGAATTCTGTGAAAAAGCATCCATTTCCCCCTGTCATGCCATGCTTTGTATAGCTTACCTTTTTCTTTGATTGCCTGGCTTCACCGGCTAGTTAGCTGAGTAAGTTAAGAGGCTAATGGTTATGCTGGCTTCACAGAAAGGAAGATGCGACTACTTTCAATATTAAAAGTTGGCTTCAGACTTTGTGAAGATGTCTTTATTAGTCCCTCCAGCTTACATTAATGCGTTTGTGCCCAATGAAACCCTTCCTTTGTCTTCCTGTCCCTTGGCTGTGTCCACCCTCTGAGGGTCCTTTAAGACAAATTGCGTGGATCTTGTCAATTGATGGCTATTGGCACCAATTCAGTTCCAACAGGAATCCCAAATTTGGGGTGCAGTGAAGAAGGAGACTTTATTCAGTGCAAAAGGGCTCAGCAGTGATACAGCACTGCTGTGAGAATGGCAGGGCTCTGAGGCAGCCCTGGAGCCAGGCCTCTCTCCAGCTAGACAGCTCTGCTCTGCTCCTTGCTGGTCTGCTCCTCTGTGCTTTGGTTTGTTCTGGCTAATTTGGTTTCTACCCGTCTTCAGTCTTTGGTGGAAAGAGAAAGTACACTTTCAGAGCCACAGAGGATCTGGCTTATAAGGACAGAAGTCTCCACTCCTAGTCTCTGATTGGTCTGTCCTCATGCCAATTGCAGTTTGATTGATCCAAAGACACTGTCCTACTTGGGCAGAATAGGGCCAATCTGATTGGTCAGAGCTGCATAGCTCCAATTTGTTGGGGAAAGCTTCAGTCCTATATAATAAAAGGCTAATATGCAAATCGACCAAATGGCAAACAACCAGTCGCTATGATGTGCATTGACCACCAGGAGGCAGATGCTCACCACAGAGCTGCCCCTGGTGGCCAGTGTGCTCCCACAAGGGGAGTGCCACTTAGTCAGAAACCGGACTCACAGCTGGCGAGCACCTCCAAGGCAGTGCTAAGGACAGTGTCGGGAGTGGGCCTAACCCAGCAGGGAGACATCCCCCAAGGGGTCCCAGACTGCGAGAGGGCACAGACCAGGATGAGGGACCTCCTTCCTCTCAAAACACTCTCCCACCCCTCACCCCACAGTGCATGAATGTTGTGCACCAAGCCTCTGTTGGCTGAAATAAGATTCCAGAAACTTTTTAAATAAGGGCTGGCCCTGAATGCAGAAATACAGTGCAAGCAGGCAGTTCAGTGCAGAGGCAGGCAGCTCAGTGCCTGCACTTCTCCCTGCAGTGCAGTTTGTGTGAGAGGCCCTTGTATGGAAATGGCTGCTAGACTCTGTTGTAAAATTTGAACCTATTAGCCACCAGAAGCCCTTCTTAGTAGGTGTCTTCTTTCTCAGGGTTCATAATGTATTTTAATGATCTGTATACTCCATATATCTGGCCAGTACCTTACTTCCCTGCAGGCACCCCAGGCTGAAGAACTTGGGGGCCCTCATCCTATTGTAATTATACTTTGATTCTTCCCCCTTTCTCTTGCCACCCACATCCAATCAATTATCAGGTCTATGAGTCTACATTCTAAGGCTCACTTGCATCCATTTTCATACTTTTCCCCTGTCACTACCTAGTTAGACCACCCTATTATCATTCAGCTAGATTACTTCAACAGTTTCCTTGATTTTATATGACAGTCCTCTGTTTATAACTCTTTTTGGCTCCTTTTATTGTCAGGATAAAATCCAAATTTCCTTTTGTGACTGGTAATGATCTCAGCTTGCCTAATTCAACCATACTAAACTTCTAGTTCCTCAAATTCATCACAGTATCCCTAGCCTCTGGGTCTTTGCACATGTGGTTCCCTCTTCCCCCTCTTCCCAACTCACTATTTTAGTTGACTTATGCCTTCTCGGTGTTTATGTCTCCACTCAGACCACTCAGACTACTTCCTCCAACCCTACTGTCGGGGTCAGTGCCCCTCTCTCATAGTTTCCATTTAGCACCCTGGACTGCTCATCTCTGCACTTACCATCCTGGTGGAATTGCCTGATACATTTTCATCCTCACCACTAGATATTTCAGGTCTATCAGGCAGGAGGTGAGTCTGTCTTGTTTATGGCTGTATTTTTTGTGGCTTAGAAAGTGAATGACACATCATAAGTGCTATATAAATGTTTCATTGGTGAATGAATCAATGTACCCATACATTTCCCAGAAGCAGAAGGACAGCCCCAAGAGAATAAGTGGTTGGGAGAGGGTAGAGAGTGCTGATTTGACTTGAAGACCTCTTAGCACCTTCTGTTTACACATTCCCTTTGGGTTTGGCTTCTATAGTCTGTAGAATTTAGTACTCTTGCAGCCAGTAAGGTATGATGGAGATGGTGGAGGGGCCTTTTTTCAAAACTCAGTTTAGAATCAAAGCCTTTACTTTTTTAAAATTAAATTTAGTGGAGTGACTGGTTAATAAGGTCATATAGGTTTCAAGTGTGCATCTCTATGGTACATGATCTGTATATTGTATTGTGTGCCTACCAACCAAAGTAAAATCATCTTCCATCACCACATATTTAAACCCTTTCACTCTTTACTACCTCCCACCCCCTTCCCTCTGGTATCCACCATACTACTGGGGGTGTGTATGAGTTTTTGTTTATTTTTTCTTTTTTGTTTATTTGTTGTTTTCAGTTTTGTAACCCAGATATGAACAAAATCATAAGGTCCTTAGTGTTTTCTGTCTGACTTATTTCTCAAGGTCCATACATGTTGTCTCAAAGGCAGTATTTCATCTTTTCTTATGGTTGAATAGAATTCCATTGCATATATCTACCACATCTTCTTTATCTAATCATCTATTGAAAGAAACTTCAGTTTATTTCCATGTTTTGACCACCATGAGTAATGCTGCAATGTATATAAGGGTGCATATGTCTTTGCAAATAACTATTTTCTAATTTTTCAGGAAGATATTCAGAAGAGAGGTTGCTGGATTATATGGTAACTCTATTCTTAATTTTTTGAGGAACCTCATACTGCTTTCCATAGTGGCTGTACCAGTTTTCATTACCACCAGCAGTGAATGAGGGTTCCTTTTTCTTCACAATCTCTCTAACACTTTTATTACTTGTTGATGATAGCTATTCTAACAGGTGTTAGGTGGTATCTCATTATAGTTTTGATTTTCATTCCCCTAATGGCTAGTGAAGTTGAACATCTTTTTATATATCTGTTTCCCATTTGTATGTCTTCTTGGGAGAAGTGTCTGTTCTCTGTGAATTTTATAATTGGGTTGTTTGTTTGGTGTTGATTTGTATGAGTTCTTTATACATTTTGGATATTAACCCCTTGTCAGAGCCATTGTTTGCAAATATCTTCTCCTATTAGGTTGGTTGTCTTTTTGTTTCATTGGCGGTTTCCTTTGCTGTGCAGAAGAAACTTTTTAGTTTGATATACCCCATTACAGCATGGTATTGGCAGAAAAACAAACACACAGACCAATGGAACAGAACTGAGAGTCCAGAGTTACTTTTATAGTGTGAGCAGGAAAGTCCTGTAAGTTCTCTGTGTCTTCATTGCCTTATATGTTAATTTGGGATAGCCACCTTCATGGAGTTGTACCAAATTAAATAATGTCTTTAAAAGTACTGTGTAAACTGGACTATGTCATAATATTTAAATAATATTATTTATGTAAAATCTTATGTGAGCAACATGATGTTTTTCATCGTCCTGAGATTTTTCTATAAAGATTATCTTGTGATAGTATGTGCCAATCTCATAAAATATTAAGTAGCTAAAATGATTATACTAAGACATAGGGAAATATTTGGATATCATTTAGATCATTGTACATAATAAAATTAAATGACCAAAATACATTAAATTCAAACATAATAATTGTTGTAAATGAAATTTCTAAAATCGATAAATATCCAAATACTTTTCCTTGAAATCTTATGCTCTTGCCTGATTATTTATGGGGGTTTGGATGACATGTGTGTTGAATTAAAATATAGATGTAAGCATTTTCCTCTGGCTTGATAACCTCTGTACATGTATAGAACTAAACATGCTAAGGAGTAACACTCTAAATGACAACTGTATTTTCTTAGTGAGATTGTCCACTTTAACATGAGGGGAAGTGAGACAATGAAAATGTATGATATTTGGATAGTGGGAACTTCTGTAAAGCTCTAAGTATAGTACAAAACTGTCAGAGGGCGAGGGACAGAGAAACAGAGGCTCGGAGACTAAGCATCCCCACCTTCACAAAACACCAGCGTCAAAGAGAGATGAAGCTTGTCCTAGCCAGCTTGCTCAGGGGATAGAGCATCAGCTTGTGGACTGAAGGGTCCCAGGTTTGATTCCTGCCAAGGGCACATGCCTGGTTGTGGGCTTGATCCCCAGGAGGATGTGCAGGAGGCAGCCAATCAATGATTCTCAACATTGATGGTTCTATCTCTCTTTCCTTCTCCCTTCCTCTCTGAAATCAATAAAGAAATATAATAAAAAAGAATCTTGAACCTGTTCTGCCTCCAACTGAACTATCAACCACACAAAACAACAACAAAACAAAACACTTCAAATGTAAATGTGACTGCCATTATCATCTTTCTTTTGTCTTTTTTTGAAAGGTGATTCCTATTGATTGCAATGGGGAAAAAAAATTGAGATTAAAAAAAAATAATAATTTAGGAGAATCCAAGATGGCTGCTCGGGTAGGCAACTAGCCGCAGCCGCACACAACAATTTCAACAAAATACAACTAAAATATAAAATGGACATTACCCAGAACTACAGGAAAGTCGACTGACTGGAAATTCTACAACAAGAAGCAAGGAGAAAACCAGAAGGAAGCGCGGAGGAGCTGGAAAAGCCCAAGGTACGGAAACACGCGGCGCGCGCGGAGAGGACAGAGCCGGAGAGGAGGGAGGCCGAGTGCCTGGCTGGCGGTCCCAAGCGGGAAGGAGAGAAAAGCTCCGACTGTGCTGGGCCCAGCTCCAACTGCTCTGAACCCCAGTTCTAGGCCAGAACCCGGGGACCCAGGCTCATCCATAGGGAGCCGGGCTGTAAGGCGGGACTCCCGGGAAGCGGCGAAAGGAGGTCCCGGAGGCACGCACACTGCGCGCAGAGAAGGGCCAGCCGGCTGTGCCGCGGGATTGCCCTAATGGGAAGGAGACAGGGGCTCCAGACTGCTCTGAACGCCACCTCCAATCCCACTACCAACTGAAC